ATGGAATTTCTAAACAGAAAAACAAAATGTTTATCTAATAGATCAGAACTCCCTTAAGGAAGTCTCATTTTGTTTTTAAGCAGACAATTGCATGTATCAGCTATTCCTTCATGCACTGAGACAATCTCCAAGCCTGTATCAGAGGATGTTAGCTTTTTTTGCTTCCTCTGAATTCTAAGAACTATGCATTTAGTTATCTGACACTGCTCCGGATCTCACATGAGGGAGCACGAGACCAGTGTTGCACCCTGATTCTTCCTTCTGGATTTTCTTTAACTAATGAACTTGTGAATCTAATTATTTTGCTGAATTTACTTTAATGTATCTCCTTGGTCTTCACTTTAATTATGCTTTATTTACAGCATTTATCACGAGCTTAAGGCCTCATAAACAAATAGAAATTTGTTTATGTAACATAAAGTAAACCTCCACAGCCTGTTTTTGTTGCAGTTTATTCCACAGTAAAGTATGAGTAACTCCAGTGAGTCAACTCAGTGACACTGTTGTTAAATGAGAAGACATGAGGAGAATCAAGGAGACTTAAGATCTGCCAGTGGACTTTGAATTCCCAGCTTGTGACATCCTTCAGTCACAAGAGCAAAACAGACACTGAAGTTCTAAGGTCTTACGATAGAATTCGTGCTGGATCTCAGTCCTTTCATTATTTGCACAGGTTGCAAATCGCTGCAGCAGACATTACCAGCGTACAGTTACTGACAGGCTCATAATTCCATATCCATTTGATTATTTTTTTTAAGAAATGTATGCATTACCAATCTAGATAACAGAAATTACAAACATCAGTTAACTTCCAAAGTCACTGGTATTTCTGTGCTGGGATGCTTTGAGCAGTTTGAAACATGTCAAAAAAGGGGATATTTTATGTTTAGTAACAAGGGAAAAGGGCTGTTATTTCTACCAGGACCATTACTCCTCCCAGATAAGAAAGAAAGTGAGTAGAAACAAGATGATAATTATAAATATTATTGTTTGAAACTGGAGACATGTCCAAATTAGAGTTTGTAACTACCTCATGCAGTGAGATTGGAACATACTCAACAACAAAGAATATACTTGCAGTGGAAAGCAAAATTAAGATTTAAGACAACTATTTGTTTAGAAGCTATGGACAAGGGGCTACAGGAGCCTACGAATCTAAGTGAGGTTCATATAAGAACTGGAATGGTCAGACAATTCTAAAAGTAATCTTCAGTAATTTAACAGTTATTAACATCTTCGCTCTACTGTTTGTAAAGAAAAAAGTGGAAGTGATTTTTTCCACTCAGAATGGGTAATGCTTCAGACTGAAGTTTAAACCTATTTAGAGTTTATGGATTTCCAAAACTGCTGAATTAGATCTATCTACACCCACAGCCAACATTAAAATACTCCCTACCAGTTGCTTTAAGACAAAGGAAGTTTTTGCCCTCAATAAGACTCGAGGCAGAAGAGTGATCTAAGGTAAGGTGAATGTTATAAAGCAAGATGCTTATGGCTTATCACTATGGACGTAGTTAAGCTCTCCTTAGTATTACAAAGGTTATAGTAAAGATAATGTAATAATAAATAATACAATAAATAGTATCTGTCAGCACAGTGATACTTGCTAAGAACAACTGCTTCTCATCTCTCTATAGGGGAATTGAGTGTCTGCAGAGGTCTCTGCATGCTACATGGGAGGAAACATTAACTTTTCATTAGTGACCACTGTACATTTCCATCCTCAGTGTGCTTTCCATAGCAAGGTAGCTGTTTTGTAAGTAAGTTACCTGTTTCAGCTCACTTTACTCCCTCTGGACTCTATTCTTCAGTACTTGTGAGCTGCTAGTCTCAGCAGCCCTCAGTGCTATTGGATATAGTTTATAGGCTCAGCACTTACCAAGTCTTGTGCACACCCCTCTCTACAAAGCTGAAAAAGAATTGGGAATGTGATACTGCTCTTTATTTGGTTGTATCTCCATCTGTGTTGCAGCAATTGGCAAGAGACAAACTGTCCTGTCACTCACTACTGAGCTGCTTTTATTCCTCACACTATTAATGGATCTGTACCTGCTTCGTTTCTTTTTGGCTTTGTCAGTGCTTATTTAGGAATTGACAGATATGAAGCATACCAAATACTTCCAGCCAGCATTGCAGAGCTTTATTGGCACTGAAAATCAACACCCTATCCTGAGGCAGGAGGCCCAGCAAATATTCTACCATTTGGAATAGTAAAGGACACCATCACAGTTATGATGGCTTGTTCCCAGCCTGGCAAAGAATACAAGGATGTGTTTCCCTAACAATATCAGGAATGTGAGCACAGTCTATCCTTTAAAAAAAAATCTGTCCCATTCTGATGTCTGTTACTTTCTGCAGCATGTTCTCCAAGACTCCTGAATAAAACTTCAGATCTTTTGTCCTTTTTTCCACTGACTTGAGCATAGGACTCCTACAGGATAATCCCCAAGGTCGTGGTTCCATTTCACACACCTCATGGCAGGGGGGTTGGAACTAGATGATCTTAAGGTTCTTTCCAACCCAAAGCATTCTATGGTTCTATGATTCTATAAGAATAAAGCTCATCTGCGCAGGAGACAGTCTCAGGCTGTAGAACTAAGCAATACGAATCTCACCACCTTAAACTCTGAGGATACACTGGGGTTTTAAACATTTATTTTTCTATAAACACAGATAACATATACATTGAAGGAAATGAAACTCAAGCAAACTGCTTTGAAAATAAAACACGCCATGCATAAACAGTTCTCCCATGGAGGAAGAATAAGGAAACAGTTTAACCTGAATGTCTACAGAGACTTCAGTGATGGGGATGTTAAAAAAACATAACAGAGTCATACAGAGTTCAGTGGCTGTTGCCAGTTGGTAGAGCTTCATGGCTTTCATGTAGCTACACTGATTTCAATGGCTGAAGGTCTGGACTCTAAGCTTCAACCAAAGTTGTTAAAGTGACAGGTTCTACAGAAACCAGTTTTAAAGCTGAGTGACATAATCAAGAACAGCTGCGCAAAAGGAGCTCTGTACTGCACATGCCCTCAGACAGGGCCATTCTCTAAGGCAAACAGCAGATAAAGCACATGAGAGAAAAACTTGCTAGCTCAGCTTTTTTATAAATAGAGAAGTACCTTCCCCCCTCACTGTGGTTACCACTGTGTTAGGGAAATAATGAGTCTTTGGCCCACGCCCCTCCTCTGACTGTACCACTAACTGCAGCTGGCTGGGGAGACCAACAAAATACATACAGTGATATTCAAAGTCCTTGTATTAAAAATACCTTGCTGTTCTGCAACAGGAACCGTTTCCATGCGGAATTAGTTAAGAGGGAAATATTTTGGCTACTTTTGCTAAAGGGGTTTGCTTTGCTTGCAAGGTCATGCCGAATGAGCTCCCTGAACTTTGAACCGTATCTGCAAAGTGAGATAAACAAGAGCTGTATAAATACCACAGCCCTTCTCCCCACACTGTTTTCTTCTGCAGCAGCATTAAGCAGAGCTATCAAGGAGGGGGAGGAGGAACGGGTAAGTGTGCTGGTTTGCTGTGAAAGAACTCCATGACTTAAGATTTGGCAGCGTGTCTGCTTGTTGCTTTGGCTGAAAGGGCGGGCTGTTGAAATTCCCGTTGGAAACAACTAGAAAGTTGAAACGTGAAGGGAAGCATAATTCAGAACATAGCTCTCACCTCGCTCATGGGGTGAGACAGCTGTTGCTGGGCACTCTATGCCAGTGCTGCAGAAGGCCATAAAGGCATAGAAGGATGTCGAGGTGTCATAGGAGTTTCATGTGTTTATAATGGGTGTAAAGGTGGGCAGATTTCCAGATGTGTGGAAAG